ATATACCATTGACACATGTTTTAGAGATGAGGGACCTGAAGTGAAACTAAAAGTGACTGCATTTGCAAAACCTCTGCAGAATTAAACCTAGCCATAGGAAGGACTTGAACATGAAAGCTATGAAACATTGAAGAAAGAAATTAAAGATCGAGATCAGTGGTTCTCAACCTTTCTAATGCTGTAACCCTTTAATTTCCTCACACTGTGGTGACCCCCAACCATAAAACTATTTTCATTGATAGTACTTCGTAACTGTGATTTCGTGACTATTATGAATTGTAATGTAAATTAAGTGTTTTCTGAAGGCCTTAGGTGACCCCGTGAAAGGGTCAATGACTCCTCCACCCCAAAAGGGGTCACAAAACCATAGGTTGAGAACCACCGATCTTGACCATCTTGAAATCCTGTAGGCTTTTTACTTCTTGAATACACAAATGTTCTGAACCCAGGTGGAATCTCATTTGCCTTATGTTGCTGCTGTTGTCTGTGGTTTTGGATTCAAAGCTGTGAAACTTGTCAAATCCTGTCATGAATGTGTTCTCCAGTGTCTTTTTTTCCCTAGCTATAGTTTTTAGCTCCTATGTGTAGGCTGCCGGTCTGTTTTAGTATCTTTTACAGTGGTGTGAAGCTAGAGTTCAGCTTCCTTCTTTTGCATGTAGCTGCCCAGTTTTCCCAGCACTATTTATTATCCCTTGCTTTTATGGCTGTTAAAAAATTAAAAAAATTAACCCTCCATCTAGATTTAGTTCTTGGCTTTCTGAGGATCAAGACAACTTATGGGGAGACACTCCATGTTTGTGGATTGGGAGACATCCTGTTTAGGTATCAAATGTACCAAAGTTATCTTCAGAGCACTATCAAAACTCTATGAGCTTTTCTTTTCACAGACACAGAAAAGCAAATTCTCAAATTCATACAGAATCGTAGGGGTTCCAGCCAGCCAGAACAATTTGAAAAGGGCCAGAGCCCTGACGACTCTGCGTTGTGACTCTGAAACACGCTATAAAGCTAGCTGTCAAAGCGGTGAGGGACCCCCATAAGCACAAGCATATAGATCAATGGAATGGAGTTGCAGTGGTTTGAATGTCCTCATAGGCTCAGATATTTTGAATACTTGATTCTGGTAGGTAGCACTGTTTAGGGAGCTTAATAGTACATCCTTGCTGGAGGAAGTGTATTACTGGGGGTGAACTTGAAAAATAATGCCTTGTGTCACTTTGCATTCACATTCTCTGCTTCCTGCTTGTGCATTTGAAGGTAAAAGCTCTCAACTTTCTGCTTTTGTAGCCATGCCTCCTGCCATGATGCAGTCTTCTCCCTCTGGAACAGTAAGCCAAAATAAACCCTTCCTTCCTTCAATAAGTTGCCTTGGTCCTCAGAAAGCCAAGAACTAAATCTAGATGAAGAGTTAATTTTTTAACAACCATAAAAGCAAGGTATAATAAATAGTGCTGGGAAAACTGGGCAGCTACATGCAAAAGAAGGAAGCTGAACTCTAGCTTCACACCACTGTAAAAGATACTAAAACAGACCGGCAACCTCCACGTAGGAGCTAAAAACAATAGCTAGGGGGGAAAAAAAAGACACTGGAGAACACATTCAAGACAGGATTTTTTTAAATATTTATTTATTTATTATGTATATAGCACTCTGTCTGTGTGTATGTCTGCAGGCCAGAAGAGGGCACCAGACCTCATTACAGATGGTTGTGAGCCACCATGTGGTTGCCGGGAATTGAACTCAGGACCTTTGGAAGAGCAGTCAATGTAACCACTGAGCCAACTCTCCAGCCCCCTCATGACAGGATTTGACAACAGTTTCACAGCCTTGAATCCAAAACCACAGACAACAGCAGCAACATAAGGCAAATGAGATTCCACCTGGGTTCAGAACATTTGTGTATTCAAGAAATAAAATGTCTACAATTCAACAATGGGAAAACAACTCATTTTAAAGTGTGGCAAAGGATGTAATCAGCTATTTTTCTATGAAAATACAGCGGTGACCAACAGCATGCTCAGCACCAGCCACAATGGAAAAGCAAACTTTGACCATAGTAAGGTGGCCCCTTATACAGCAAAGATGGATGGGGAAGAAATGGAAACAACCAGACATGGTGGTTTGAGACTATAATCTCAGCTCTTGATTATCAGGGCTGGGACAAGAGGTTTGCCCAGGCAGGCCTAGGTTATACAGTGAAACTCTGTCTCAAGAAAAATAGCAAGTGCTGAGAAACTACGGATACACTGAAGCCCTCGTGTACAGCTGCTGAGAACATCAATAGGACAGCTGCAATGGAGGCAGTTTGGCAGTGCCTCAGAAGGGATAGACATGGACTAGTGTACAAGTCATTCCCCACTCCTGGATACCTGGTTACATAGCTCCAGAGGGACTAAAATCAGAGACTAGTCCACAGGCTAATCAATGGTGGGGTAGGGATGACAACAATGAACACACAGCACAAACACAACAGAGCGGGCTCAGCCTCTTCTGATATAGCTGTAACACAGATGGGACTTAAATGTTCTATGAAATCCATAGAGGACTCCACTTCAACAAGGATTCCAGGCAAATCACAGAGACAAAGAACAGAAAATAGGCTATGAGGGAGAGTAGGAGAGCTACTGCCGGGAATAGTTTACAAGGAATCATAGAAAGGTCTGGGTGGACATACATAGTCTGAATACATTTGGTATCATTCAATTATTGGCTTACAAATGGTTAAAATTATAGATTTGTGTATTTTACCATAATTTCAAAAACAAAACAACTTGAAAGAGAGTGTAGGTACCACATACCTGTAATCCCAGCACTTTGGAGACTGAAGCACAGGGTTTAGAGCTGGGTTCAGCCTAGGCTACACAGTGATCTCTGTCTCTTCAAAACAACATGCATGGGAACATTGTTATACATTTTTAAACATAGGAAAACAGAAGCTCAAATGTCAGCGACTGTTGTTTTAAGAAAAGTCTTTAGGTAGTCCTTCCTTTCAACTACTTTTCTGTAGTTTCAAAGTCTTCTATTTAAATTGAAACTTCAAGTAGAGAAGAACAAGTTTTATCTTAAACATTTTTTAGGATTTGACCATACTAGGGTCCACATAAGCTTCACGTTTTTCTTCCTAAACAGAGATTTCCCCACATTTATTTTACAAGAACAGCAAAGGAAAGGAAATGACCACTGAAAATGATGCAGATGAGTTCTTAAAAACTCAGCTTGGCACAGGGTTCCAGGACTCCATTCACAAGCAACAACTCTGCCCTCTGTGGTGGGGCCTCTGGGTATGGGAGGAAAGGGCTCAGACACCCCTCTGATGACAATTTCCTCTGGCAATATGATAAAGTTCATAATCTGACTTCCAGCCAATGCATTAAACCAGGAAGGACGATTTACAAACAAGTGAGACTCTCCCCTGGTTGTCAGAGCTGCAAGTGTTTCTGAAGTGGCCTTATGCTCCTGAAGGCCTGTCCACAAAGGAAGTGAGCTGATGCTGTTGGGGTTTATGCAGGACTCCAAAAAACTCGCTCTCCCCTTTCTGACAAGGAAATAAAATGGCAGGGAGATCAAATAACTCACTAAAAAGGAGATATAATTTTTTATCTTCCTTTTTACAGTCTCATACCCACTTCCGTTAGGAATAACGAAGTCTGAATTCTTATGCAACACTTATCTAAATGTGTCGATTTTATCAGATTGATGAATTTTGCTAACAAAAGGCAGTGCAAGGAAATCTTTTATGACATATATGGCCCATTCACAGGACTGAAGCTTTAATTTAACCAACTTGAGCATTCTGAGGGAGAGCTGCAGGTGCTGGATTGGGAAAAAAAATCATAAATGGGAAGGCATATCAATCTTTATGACAGGGAAACAAAAACACTCTCTACTTGCTTGCCCTCCACAGGCTGGAGAAAGAGAGGCACGGAAGAGGATATTGTCTCAGGCAGCATAGCAGAGAGGAGGCAGTCCTGTCTCCCAGTGACGACTCTTCAGAACTGACCAAAAGGGGATGGCCAGAAAGGGAGAGACAGCCATTGAACAATGAGGCCCACCAGCTCTGTGTGCTCAACAAGGATACTAACTCATGTTCTTGGCCACATCAGAATTAGAAAGTTCTGTGGCCCCCAGGTGGCTTATAGCCCTGTGGTCTCCACCTCTCACTTCCTAACTTTGCCCCTTGCTTCCCCTGACAACAATCAGAGGTAACCGTGGTCTCCTACATCTCCCCTTCACCCTCCTGCATTACAGATACCTCTTCTCTCCCTGGGAAAAGCCCACAACCCACTGACCCTGATCCTATTTTTTCGCCCTGTAGCCCCTGATTCCACCAACCAGGCCATCTTTCCGCTGTGGCCAGTGACGGCCCAATATGAAACCTCATTTGATTACTCCCTGTTCAGAGTTCTCTAGGAACATGCCAATTCTCACAAGATAAGAGTTGCAAAGGCTCTGGCTGCCAACAATAGCAGTCACCTGTCTGCAGTCGCCCATTTGCAAGGTTCTATGATCTTTGTCCTGAGTTGACGTTGGAGCAGTAGAGAAACAGGTGGTTGGAGAACATGACACCCAGGCTCCAATGCTGAGGCCTGGCCAAGACAAGGGCAGGACTGAGTCCTTATGGAGCAACACAGAGTGGCCCCTGGACTAGGTTCCCAGACTTTGATAGCTCACACATCTGAGCTAGAAAGTGCAGCACCTGTACCTGGCCCTCACCATACACTCAGGGGCACATACCACAGGTCAGAAGTGGCAGGATAGAGACTGATCACCAAAGGAGCAGTCTTCCATCTCTGGCACTCCCACAAGTGAGGGTACCCCATTTCCGTATGCTCTAGTACTTTCTGGAATCTTAACAACATGCTATCCTTGAGTCAGCTTCATGCAGCCACAGCTGTGTCAACAGGGGGCAGTCCGCTCACCAGGCTGTGGGGCTGATTGTTAAACAAGAAGTGTGTTAAACGAGAAGTCACTTACACATGAACTGTCATTGGCAAACCTACTTGGTGTTCTCAAGAGTCTTCTGCATTTTCTTGGTCATTTTGTCAATCGCTGCCTGCCTCTTCCCTTCTGCTAACAGGTCTATCTTGTTCAGCACCACAACCAGCTTCTGGCAGGCGATCTGACCAATCACAAGGCACTCTGCGGACTGTGTCTGCATTCCCTTGGTCACATCAATCACGAGCATCATCAGATCAATGATCTGAGCACCTGGGACAATAAAAGGTAAGGTTAGGAGAAGTGTTGGCTTAGAGAGCCTCACAGGAAGTTACCATGCTCAGTTCCAGCAAAGCACTGCAATAGTTGGCAGACGGGGAGGAGTACTGTAGAACTTCTGGCTAGTCCAATGAGTATGCTGACTGGCATAAGCTCATCAAGAAAAAAGTGCTCCAGGAGAGGTGAGGAAGCTGAGGGTCTTCTCGGGGGTCCTGTGGCTGTACACACCAGGGCTGAGTTTAGGTAAAGGATGTCTGGCTCCAGAGTCCCCCACCTCTCTGCTGTACCACTGCTCTTATTTTCATTTCATCCAATAAGGGGGGGGATGTTGTGAAGGAAAAGTATGATGCTCACCATCTACTAACTTTGGTCCTATGCTCTGTTTATGGAGCTTCTGCTCTTTCTAGGAGGTTGGTGCACACACAACTGCTGTATGCACAACTGGCTGTGTACACATGTACAGTATGCCTGAGCTTAACAATGGCAAGTGCTCATATGACAGGGCAGTCAGTGAAGAAAAAGTAACAGCCACTATGTTAGAAGCACAGGTGTTAAAAGGAAGAATGACCACTGTGGTAATATTTCATTTGTGTTTTAACAAATAAAGCATGCTTGAAGATCAGAACACAAAAAAGCCACACTAGTCAGCTATATAGGCCAGGCAGTGGTGGAACACACCTTCCCAGCAGCCACACTAGTTAGTTATAGAGGCCAGGTGGTGGTGCATGCCTTTAATCTCAGCACTAGAGAGAAATATAAACTGGGACTTTCTTTCAGTCTGAAGATTTCTTGGAGATAAGAGCTCTCTAGTGGCTTGGCTACCTTGCTTTTCTGATCTTCAGATTGAACCCCAATATGTCTCTGGGTTTTTATTATTCATGCTACCTGACCATGCCCTTTGTAAGGGAGCATGGAGGATTTCAGTTATTCAATTCAATATTTTAGAAATCATATTACAAATAATGTTTAGTTATTAAGGGGGTGTGGAGGATTTCAAGTTATTCAATTCAATATTTTAGAAATCATATTACAAATAATGTTTAGTTATTATTTCAATAATTTAGAAGGAAAAAGGGGTGTAGGGAAAGCAGGAAAATAGACATATCCCCCTCTGAAATGAATGGTAATTTCATCTTCAGTTTACAAGACCTCCCCCTAAGGATGTTGGGATCACCCTATGATCACTAGAAAATTTGAAGAAGTGAAAGAATGCTGAGAGAAGACTCACTCTGAAAGTGAGTCTGATGACCAACCCCACCTACTGCTGTGGGAGAGGGAGGCCAGAAAAAGACCTTTTGTCCACAGTTGCCACACCAGTAATGCGTGCTAAAATAGCATGATTAATCCTCATTACCCTGTTTAAGATGCAGAAAGGCTCAAAGCATAGAATGGCAATTCATGATCTAGGTCACATGGCCACCTGGCACCAAAGGGAACTACTCTGCCTGCTGCTCTCAGAGGCCTCCTAGTCAGTGCCAGCTGAAGCTCTGGCCCCAAGGACAAGCAGTGTCTTAAGTGTAGGCAAGCTTGACATGGCCCAGCTCTCCTCTCTCACTGGCCTCTTCTTCAGGCAAGGATAAAATGCACTGAGAAGGACAGGTGCATACAGCAGCATCAACAGCAGCATATCCTTGTTTAAGTCACTGGGTGATAGGACTCGGCTCCCACTTGTGAGGGGGACACTGCCTCTTCCATTTCTATGAACAGAATGTATTTACACAACCCTACAGCTTTTCACAGAATGGAGTTAAGAGGTGAATCTGGGACCTCAGAGGGAGTAGGCCTGAACCAGGACCTCTGCGGGTCCGGGCATTGGTCTGGGACATCAAAGGGAATAGGTAGGAACCTGAATCCTCTGTGGGTCCGAGTGTGAGTCTAGGACCTCTGAGGGAGTAAGCCTGAGCCAGGTCCTCTGTGGTTTCTGGGCACACCTGAGCCTGGGAACTCTGAGGCAGTAGACCTGAGCCAGAGACCTTTGCAGGACCAACTCCGTGACAGGGACTTCTGCAGGAGGGGATTCAGACCAGGATTTACAGATACAGGGCAAAGCAGGTAACCTAGGCCAAAGTAGGCCTGAGACAGCAAACTCAAAGGGAGCAGAGCAAAGTACAGGAGCATTGAGCTATCTCTAGAATCATGGAGTAACCAATAGGGTAACCAGAACTGTGGCATTGACGGTACCACGAGGAACAACCATCTGAGCTTTGAATTCACTGGCACCTAGAAGATCAATCAACAGAATCTTAGACAGCCCCAACCATACCTATTAGAAGAAAAGATGAGTAGAAAAGGTAAGAACACACACAACACCACAAAGAGCAACACAACACCAGTAAAACCTAAAGACTGTACAACAGCAAGACCTGAACAACCAAATATGGATGAAGCAGAAGAAAATGACCAAAAAAAAATAATAATTTCAGGAGAACGTTTGAAACTCTTAAGAAGGAAATGAAAAATTCCCTCAAAGAAATGGAGGAAAAGACAAATAAAAAGTTGGAAGACATCAGCAAATGCTTAAAGAAAACCAATAAAAAGCAATCAAACATATGAAAGAAACTATTCGAGACTTAAAAACTGAAATAGAGACAAAAAAGAAAATACAAGCTGAGGGAATTATAGAAACAGATATCATGAGAAAATGATCATGAACCACAAACAGAGGCATAAGCAACAAAATACAAGAGATGAAAGACAGAATCTCAAGTGCTGAAGATACAATAGAGGAAATAAGACTCATCAGTCAAAGAAAACATTAAATCTAACAAAAGCTTAACCCAAAATATCCAGGAAATATGGGACACCACGAAAAGGTCAAATCTAAGAATACTAGATTAGAAGACGGAGAAGTAGTTCAACTCAAAAGCACAGAAAATATATTTAGCAAAATCACAAAAGAAAACTTTCCCAACCTAAAGAAAGATATTCCTAAGAAGTGACAAGAAACTTACAGAACACCAAATAGACTGAATCCAAAAAAAAGTCCCCTCACCACACAATAATCAAAACACTAAACATACAGAATAAAGAAAGAATATTAAGAGCTGCAAAGGAAAAAGGCCAAGTAACATATAAAGGTAGACCTATCAGAATTACACTTGACTTTTCATTGGAGACAATGAAAGCCAGAAGATCATGTTCAAGTGTTAAGTAGACATTAAGAGACCATGGATGCCAGCCCAGACTACTATACCCAGCAAAACTTTCAATCACCATTAGAAGGACAAAACAAGACATTCTATGACAAAACCAGATTTAACCAATACCTAGCCACAAACCCAGCCCTACACAAAATGCTAGAAGGAAAACTCCAACTCAAGGAAGATGGGTACACCAACAAAAACACAGATAATTGATGGTCTCATAGCAGCAAATCCCAAAGAAGGTAAAAACACACAAATTAACATCACCAACAATAAAAACTAAATTAATGGGAGATAGCAATCACTGGTCATTAATAACCCTTAATATAAATGGACTCAACTCACCTATAAAAAGGTACAGGCTAACAGATTGGATAAGAAAACAGAATCCATCCTTCTTCTGCAAAAAAGAAACACATCTCAACCTCAAAGGCAGACATGTCTCAGAGTAAAGGGATGGGAAAAAATATTCCAATCAAAAGGACCTAATAAACAAGTGGGTGTAGCTATCCTAATATCTAACAAAATAGACTTGAAGCAAAAATCAATCAGAAGAGACAAAGAAGGCCATTTCATATTAGTCACAGGAAAAATCCATCAAGAGGAAATTTCAACACTGAACATCTATGCCCCCAAATACAAGGGCATCCTCATATGTAAAAGAAACACTTCGAAAGCTTAAATCATACATTAATTAAACCTCACATACTCATAGTGGGAGACTTAAACACTCTCCTCTCACCACTGGACAGGTCAGTCAGACAAAAAATGAACAGAGAAATAAGGGAACTAACAGATGTTATGACTCAAATGGACTTTACAGACATCTATAGAATATTCCATCCAAACAGAAAAGAATATACCTTCTTCTCAGCACCTCATGGAACCTTCTCAAAAACTGACCACATACTTGGTAACAAAACAAACCTCAACAAATATAAAAACATTGGAATAACTCAATGTACCTTATCAGATCAACAAGGTTTAAAACTAGAAATGAACAGCAATACTAATTCCAGAAAGCCCACAAACACATGGAAATTAAACAATGCTCACATGAATCACCAATGGGTCAAGGAAGAAATAAGGGGAGAAATTAAAGACTTCCTAAAATTCAATGAAAATGACCACACAACATCCCCAAATTTATGGGACACAGTGAAAGCAGTATTAAGAGGAAAGTTCATAGCACTAAATGCCTATATAAAGAAGCTGAAAAAATCCCACCACTAGTGAATTAACAGAACATTTGAAAACTTTAGAACAAAAAGAAGTAAACTAACTTAAGAGAACTAAATGGCAGGAAATAATCAAATTGAGAGCTGAAATCAACAAAATAGAAACAAAGAAAACAATACAAAGAATCAATGAGACAAAGACTTGGTTCTTCAAGAAAATCAACAAAATAAACAAACCTTTATCCAAACCAATCAAAAGGCAGAGAGAGAATATCCAAATTAACAAAATCAGAAACAAAAAGGGGGACATACAGAGAATCAAGTCATTTTACAAAACCCTGTACTCCACAAAATTGGAAAACTTAAAGGAAATGGACAACTTTCTAGATAAATATCACTTACCAAACTTAAATCAAGACCAGACAAGCAAATTAAACAGACCTATAACTGCTGAAAAAATAGAGACAGTCAGTAAAAGTCCCGCAACCAAGGAAAAAGCCCAGAACCAGATGGTTTTAGCTCAGAATTCTACAAAACTTTCAAAGAAGAACTAATACCAATACTCCTCAAATTATTCCACACAATAGAAACAGAAGGAACATTGCCAAACTCTTTTTATGATGCTACAATTACCCTGATACCCAAACCACAGAAAGACATTACTAAGAAAGAG